CGCCCCGAGCCCTGAGCCGCCCCCGGCGCTGCTCGCACTCTTGGCCTCGCTAACATTAAACCCACTAACTACTCACTAGCGAAGCGTAGTATTTTTCCCCCTCTGTTTCCTAATAGCACCATCTTATAACCTGGAAAGTTCTACCCGAAAATGGACCTTTGAGGTACCTTTCATCACAGAATCACAGAATGCTTAAGGTTGGAAGGGACCTCTAGAGATAATCTAGTCCAATCCATAAGACTGTTAAGAATTCATATGTATTTTTTTATATATATTCTGCTTAACTGTTGATTACAAACCATTACTGTATCATCAAATTAAACATAGCTGTGTTTCTTTCTTTTTGTTTCCACCTTTGCTTTGAAAAAAGGGGTATCAAAGGCTTAGTCTGAAAACAGACTACAACAGGCTCCTGTCAGACTTGAATCACAGTCTTGGCTAGAACCAGTTGGCCATCTCGTTTATTGTTTCTTTTAACTTTGAGGAGCTGCCTTTGGAGGCAAGCGGCAGTTTTGCCACAAAAACAAACAAACAAAACAACAACAACAACAAAAATAAATAAACTTGCTATCTTCCAGGTGGAATTTCCAGCAAGACCCAGCAGCATGTTGATTCTGAGGGACGCTCACTTCACATGTGGGAGTTTCGGATTCCTGCTCCGGCACTGCCTGTTCCTGGTCCTCCCACATCTTACTGAATTAGACTAACGATAGAATATAAAATTAGCATCAGTTTCTCTAGAGCAGTTAAAATTTATCTGTTTGACAAACCAGAAGCCCTCTATCTTTATGTCACAGTAGCAACAAATAATCACGTCTACTTTCACTTCATATTGTAGCAACTGTGCTCAGGAACTTGCTGTGGCAACACTGTCACCTACGCTCTCTGGACTGTATTGCTGGGGCTGATTTGGGCACTGTCACTTACCCAGGAACCCCATCCCCACACATAAATCTGAGTAGCAACTTTAAGGCATCAGCTTTGGGAGTGCTGCACGACCTTGGGGACAATGATATGAAACATTAACAGGTCACTTCCTCAGCCACCACGATGGCTCTAGCCTGCCCAGGGAGGTGGTGGTGCCTCCATCCCTGCAGATGCTCAAGACCCAGCTGGTCTCGGGCCAGGGCCACCTGCTCCAGCTGCCCCTGCTTGCTCAGGGGCCGGACGATCCCCAGGGGTGTCTGGCACTAAGTCTAGGCAAGTTAAATCACTCAGAGAACAAGAGCACTGAGCGGAAATGTATGTGGGGGCGTGGGTTTGCTCAGGCAGAAACGCTGGATTAATGGGCTCCCGGCTTTGGTGACTCGTTCCTACCCCCATGGCACTCTTGGCAAGTCTGTGCAAGTTGGAAACATGGAAATGGCCTCGTTTTGGCCATGAGATGGGTGAGAAGGGTGATGCCCTATCAGCAGAGATAGTGAAGCCAAAAGCCGCCTTGCTGGAGGCTGGACAGGGCAACAAGTGGGATTAGAGGCCAGCAGGGCCTTTGAGGGCTATCTTTTGTGCGTTTGTGTGTCCTCCTACATCCTTTGAGGAATGTTAAGGTGAAGCAGCACGTGACTCTGCACACCACAGCGATGTGACAGGAATGTGTAAAATGCCTGATATGTTACAGAAGAAGAGAGGGAAACCCAACCCTGCTCCATGTCACTTTCCCACACCTCGGAGACAGGTGTGGAAGGACACTACAGCACTGCGTGGCAAGGACCCAGGCCACCCTGGCCTCTGGGCCTTGGCGCTGACGCCCCTCCGCACCCCACGCGCAGACCCCACGCGCGGAGCCCGCAACGCTCGGGGCTGGGCCCGAACCCGCGACCTCAGGAACGCGCGGGCAGCGCATGCGCAGTGCAGGCAACGGCGGGGGATGCCGCCTGGCGCGGCCGCGGGCGGCGGGACCGGGCG